ATCCCTGATACCGTTTATTTACCCTCCCCCCCCCCCCCTCTTCTTTTCATGAGCCCCGTTCTTTTAAAAATACCTTCACCCCACAAATGTGAGAGGATAATCCCGAGCAATAAATCCATAGAGCTATCGTTTAAGTCAATGGGTCTAAAAATTGCCCCCAAATCATTTGCTTTATGGGTGTTTCCAGTTTAAACCACTATCTTGGCTTGAAAATAATTTCCCTATTCCTTTTTTTCTTTGGAGGATATAAAAAGCTGCCAAAATGAAAAAACATTTTTTTAAAGAACACTCTACGAGAATCCACCGACATTTGAGATTTACTTGGCCAACCTTCCTGAATATTAATCCAAAATGGAAAGCAATCTGAAATATCTCCACTGCGTGCCTTTAAATAATTTCAAAACAGCACACCCACCGAACCAAGTGATGACAAACCCGCCAAAAAGGTGACATAATTGGCAAAAATAGTAAAAAGTTTTTCGGAACTGAAAAGCTGTTGAAATCTATTTTTTCCATGCAATGCATACAAGGTATATTTTCATTGAAGCGGGCTCACCGTGAAAATATTATGTCTTATTTTGTCAAATCCAATAGGGGCCAAAATAAATAGTAGCTTCATTTGCCCCTATGCCTTTTTTAATGCCGTGGTATCTTTAAACTTTCCGTTTCAAGGTTAAATGGTTCAATTCCAGATTATGATGTATTATAACGGAAGTGTCATTATAATTTTTTCATGATATTCAGAGTGTTTTTTTTTTCGGCAATAAAATTTAGCAATTTCCAGCAAAAAAAACCCAAATTTGATAATTATTTTGCTCTTCATTTATGTTTGCCATATGGCCAGTGGATGATTGTCATATTTTTCATTTAATAAAACATCAATTCCATTGCTAACTAAAATTTGGCATTGTTGACACTAATTTTTGTCAAAATAAATAATGGATTTGTAAAATACAAAAAGTTCATTTAAAATAGGAAAGGGGAATGAATTTAATATCCGATTCATTTTATGCTTTTCCAAGGTGTGTCGTGACCATTTGATTTCATTATTTTTATTTCTTCAAAGATCTTTTTGTCGGTATCTATTTTCACTTTCGGTTTTGGTTTTAACCAACTGTTTTTATAGGTGGTGGATTTATTTTTTTTGTTTTGGCGAGAGGATGGGGTTTTGATATGGCCTATTTTTTTCGTCAAATTATGATTTTTTACGCAACCATTGGTTCATTTTTAAGCGAATAAAGGTTCTTCCTTTCGGTGTGATTTTAAATAAATCACAAGTATGATTTAAGCGCTTTATTTTTAGACACGGCCCTTGAATAATTTCCATTCCCGTATAAAAATGGGAGTGAATGTTGGTGATTTGGAAAATCTTATTTTAAACGCCAGGGTGCCCTATTTGCACCTTCAAAATTTCTTTGGATATGTTCTATGTGCGGTCTTCTAAAAAAACATCGCGGAAATTTATTAAAATTTCAATGGTTCCTTTCAATTTTTCACATGATTGCATCAAAAAAAAAAACTTAATATTTTCGGCGACTTTTCGGAATAAACCTATTTTTTGCCTTAAAATTGGAAATAAAATATTCCGATATATATGTTTTTTATCGCGTCTTGTTTCTTAAGCGGATAGGGTTGTTTTATTTGTATAAGTGTGGTTTCGTTTCCTTTAATGGATGCTATTGTTTCTGGAGAGTGTATTTTGCTTCTTTTTATGAAAAAAATTATGGTAATTCAATCCTGGGGAAAATAAAGTTAAACCAATAAAATAATTAACTTTAAAGTAATATAACTGGGGTTTGGCGGGGCGCTTTCATAACCTATACCGAATTTAATTGAATAATTTTTACGCCGATGAGTGAAGGAGGGGGGGGGAGGATGGGGTGGAACGTTTTTTTTATCTAACGGTTTTCTTCTCAAAACCATTTACTCAAAGCATTTAAATAGCAAGCGGCTCAAATCAGAGGGTTCTAAATTTACGCGTCACCTTATTTAGGTGTCCTTCGCTCTGATGTTGGTATTGGGGACTTTTTACGTTTTTTTTCATGCGACGATATGGCCCCCAGCCTGGAAGGCGATGGGGTGACAAGAAATCCTTCCAATCAGGTCTGTAAAAATTTTATATATTTTATTTACCATGCCGATATTAACAGAAGGATAGTATTAGGAGCGTTTTTTGCAATCGTGACCAATTACAGATGTACATGTTTTTATTAGCTTTCCGTGTAATCTCTGCAGTTATGAGTCCAATCTAATAGATAGAATAGCTTTTTCTGGCTAGTGTTTGATTGAGTTCTTTTAATTTGTAAATTTCTGAATATATTCAGGAAGGTGTCATCTTTTCTCCTTTATTTACCGTGTAGTTTATCATATATTGTTTGACCAAAATATAAGAAACTTAAAAATTGTTTTCATTCTAATACAAAAAGTTGGAATGAACGTTTCTTTTTTATCCCATTCCCTGATTCTCTAGAATTTTAATAGATAATTATTGCTATATTCTTTATTATTTTCTTCTACAAAAAATAAGGGAGTACCAAAGGATTTGCAATGAGAGATAATTTTTTAATTATTTCGCTTCCGTACCATCCACAATGCACTGACCAATCAACATCAGCACAGTTTGACTTTTTTACTCGTAAAATGAATCTACTCGATCAACCTTTTCATTATTTTTCAACTCCGATGCTAAAAATTGGAACATTGGATTCATTGATAGAAGCTAGCGACAAGCTCATAAAACTTGATACCCAAATGGAAGCTTCTGTTCAGAGATTGATTGGGTTCATGGAGGAAATATCCGGAAAGCCAAGTAATGTTGTTACGACATTTCGGATTAATCAGGCACAAGAAATGTCCCCTTCTGGTTATATAAAAAATTTCATATGGAGTACCCAGCAGTTTGATCCACAGGATAGTATTATATTCTTGATTGATAAGCTTGAGAAAATTAACCACTCAGCTGAGGAACGAGTGCGCGCAAAGTTAACAGAGTACAATGATTTGCGCAACAAAATATTAGCAGTGAATAAAAAACTCGATGGTAATCTTTCAATACGTCCGATAAGTGAGTTTATTGATCAATATAATTCAAAGTGTCAATTTTTTGTTGAAACAGACCTCCTCATTACTGTGTTCATTGCGGTTCCTGTGTCCTTACAAAAGGAATGGTTGCAAGAATACTGGAAAATGAATGAATATGTTTGCCCACAATCCAATCATGTTATCGCCGAGGACAAGGAGTATGTTTTAAATAGTGTTGTGGTTTTTCGAAAGGTAGCTGACGACTTCAAAAGTGCATGTCGCAAAAAGCGTTATGTTACGCGAGATATCCTTAAAGACAACGACTTTTCTCCGTCTGAACTGAAAGATGCGCAACAAATAGAAGAAAGGAAGAAAAAGACAATCTATTCTCTCATTTGGCAACAGTATTGCGTTTGTTTTGTTGCATGGGTACATCTGAAGGCAATGCGAATCTTTGTTGAGTCAGTACTAAGGTATGGGCTTCCAGCCCTTTTTATTTCATTCGTTATAGATGTTTCCTCTGATAAAGAGTCAGAAGTCCGTAAGCGTATTGTTCAACTTTACCCAGAATTTTCTAAACAATTAGAAATCGACTCCGTGCTAAATGTTGGTGCTTTACAGCAAGAGTATCCTTATGTGTCTCTTAAAGTGACTAACATCCAGAAGTAAGGTATATGTTTAGGCGAGCTGAAATTATTCCTTAAAAAAAAAAAACTTCTTTCATTGATCTTTTTATTGTGTATGGCCAGTAAGTAGGAAAAAGAAGAAGAAAAGGTTTCACGCCTGTTTGCTAGTTATTTCGTGTTGCTGATATTATTTGACTTTATATGAGATTAATTCAATCTAAGATTTTACTGTAAGATGATATTATTCATGATGCTTTTTTTTACCTATAGTTTTTTTTCTTAGCAAAACGTTAAAGATGCGCACAAGTATTATTTATGCACAAGTATTTTTATTACTTTCCTACTTAACTCTGGCAAATGCAGTAAAAGTTGACGTTAAGGAGACTGCAGCAATAGAAATTGGATTCAATTTATCGAAACCAAACAGCGCGATTCAGTTCTCCGATACCACTTTTTGTTTTCGGACCATAGGTAGCACACTTGAAGCACCTTTTCCTTCAGAACAATTGCTATGTTCATTTAACAAGGGTTCCTCCTTTGTTACAGTAAATTCTGACTTATCGTTTTGTGGAAGTAGAGGCATTGTGTTGAATGGCCAGTTGTACTGCCCGCACAAAAAGGTTATTGGTAAAGACAGTAGCTTTCTAGGGTACTCAACTATTGTTTTCACACCCAAAAATGAAATTATTGAGAGTAAAATTTCATCTCAAGAGGTTTCTTTCCAGATGAAGCCGAATATTGTACCAAATGAAATAAAATTTAACGGTGGTGTGCAATATATTTCGTCTGAGGGATATTATCTTATGGCAGCTACTGTGATAGATGTTAGTAACCTTGAAAGTCCATATCTTTTCAAGTCCGTGAATGGATTTAACTGGACTATGATAGATCTATTGCCACTGAATCAACCGGATGAAATGTATCTTCAATGTGACTCAAAAATTACTATTGTCGCAAAGAATAATAGTAACTATTATAAGGTTATCTCAGAGGACATGGGACAGTCGTGGTCAGGAGTGAAGTACCTTAATACTGTCTCCCCACCCTTTTCTATTATGCTTCCATCTAATGTCGTAATGCAATATGCCTTGTCCAACCACACACTCGGAGAAGTCACATTTTTATCTCCGTTACCACCTAAAAATGTATCAAACAGTTTTCTTCGACTAAACAATTTAAATCAATCTTTAGATAAGATCAATAATACCGAGAAAGACATTGTGACTTCATACTATGCTGTATCTATGCAAGTGAGCTCAGCACCACTTCAGTTTATTATGATTCACGATGAAGTTATTCAGGATAAGTTCCTCTTACGTACAACACTTATTGAGATTGATGATTCAGAAGAGAAACAATATTTAGATGAACAAAATATTGAAGCAGCTAAAAAAAGGGAAAAAGAAAAGCTTTTAAAGGAAAAAGCAAGGCAGGAAAATCTAAGGACGAAATGGAGAATACAAAATAAAATTCGTAAGGCAGACGAAGAGCGGCACCGTAAGTTTGCTGATTTTGATCGTCTTTACATCAAGCGTGCTTTGGAGAATATGAAACACGATAATGAATTTATTGTTGTGAGACAGGTTAAACCAGAGTTTATTGATTTTGAAAGTGAGGCGCTTTAACAATTTTCATTCTCAGCCTGAATAATCGCTTACACAGTTTTTTTTAATACTCGTTCCAAGAATATTTTGAGAGTAGATTGAAATTTTTTTTTGCTAAATTATTATTTTCATTAAACTATTTACATGATAGAATTATTTATTCAATTTTGTCTTCATGCTTAAAATTTATTTTTACACAGATATTATATATTAAAAGTATCAGTAGTTTTTTTCTTTAAAAATAATAGTAGGGAAATTCTTGATAATGGTTTACACTGAAAAACAAAGCCAAAATGGGTCTGATAGCACTAATTTCGAGTTCAAAGAAGCTCTACAACAGAAAAGGATAACTAAATGGCGTGCCTTCCGTACTGTAATAATCAATAGCATTGCTACCGCTCTCATTCGCGTTGCTATTGGGGTTTTAAAACTCTTGTCGAAACGTGGATTAGGCAAAGTGTTCCTCCGACAATTGCCAAATGAGTTCCTTTCTCTTAATCCTTTGAAATGGGCTGCCATAGCAGGTGGTTTTTCAAGTTTCCATTTATGCTTACAGACCGTCTCGAGAATCCTGGATCCACTTCGCATACCTCAGCGAATCATCGTCTTCATTACGGGTATCCTTTGTTCACTTCCAGTTTTCGTCTTGGACAAGGAGACTAAGACAGAACTCTCTCTTTATGTCTTTGTAAGAGCAATGCATGTTTTCTGTCTTGGATATATTTTACCAAAGCTTCCAGAGTGTTTACAGAAATTTGAGCACTACGATGTTTTATTTATGTGCATTAACTCTTCTCAAATTGCATATGGATTCACGTTCTTTCCACAATCCTTGCCAAAATCTTATCAATTTTTTTTGACGAAGGCATCGCTGGTGGATGAACGCCTTGTTCGTGGGCATGCTGGGTTCTTGCGTGGGCATGTTACCCCTGATCTTGTTGCTTTCTGTCAGGATCGTAACGCCCCTCTTCTTATTGGAGCGGAAAATGCATCCGATATGATGTGCAATTATGTTCATCCCGGTATGACTTGCAATCGGTGGATCTTACGATTTATACCACAAAATATGTTGAGGCTTGGAATTCCTTTATATGGTCCTTTGTGCGTCATTACTACACTCGCCATGCGAAGGAAACACCTCATGGCTCGTCCAATGCGCACCATTACTCGTGGAATCACCTCTGTTATCACCAGCTCCTTGTTCGTAGCGGTGTATTCAGCTTGCATTGTGCGTGCTTCGTGTTTCTCAATGCAGCGAAAATCTCGTAGGGGCCCTATCATCGCGTTTCTATGTTTATCAGCTGGTCTTTCCACCTTTCTGGAGCCAAAAGGTCGGCGAATGGACTTAGCGCTTTACTGTTCCATACATGCTCTCCGTTCCTTCGTTCTTTCACAAAATCGGATGGGACGACTGCCTTATCCACGTCACTGGGCTATCGTGTTTATATATTTTTTGTCTATGATTTTTTTGATCTTCCAGTATGAAGAAGATTCGGCATTTCTCAATCCTCGCGTTCGCTATATATTACAACTTCTGCTTGGTGAAAAACTATCAAACACTAATAGCCACAAGTATCAACCCCACACCATCACAATGACGGCAAAAACAACCATCAAGCAAAATAGGTAAATCACTTTGGACCACCAATGACATGATTACGCCAAGCACTAATTTTTTTATCGTTTGACTCAATCTTGCTCTTGTGTTATCCTTTCTCCTTATATCACATCAAGTGCTATTTATGCATTTTGAATGATTTGGAGTTTTATTGTTAGTCTTGTCCTAATATTGCAATTATGCACATGCATAGCAAAAAGGGCACGGTTTATCCTTTTTTGTTACCATCTGATATAATAATTTAGCCATGTATTCTTTCAAATTTCCATAGACAATGACTTGTATAATACGTTAATATATAAGACACGTCCAAAAAATTAGTATAAGAAAAGTGAGCATCACCAGAAGCCAAAGTTGATATGGAGTATTCTTTAAATTAGAAAATCAAGTCGAAGATGAATACAAAATATAAAATTCCTTGCATTATCAGCGTGCGCATAGTTTCCTGTGTTACTTTATCATGATTCACATTTCTGTCTCCTTCAATAGTCATTTTTTTTCTTAAAAATATCGACAGATATTTATTGATATTTTTATCGCTTAAATTGGCACTTTACACACCTTTCCTTCACATAGCTTTGTTGAACCATGTCGTATCAAGAGGAACTAGAAAAAAAAATGCGCGAACGTCTTGAAAAGTCAGGGCAAATAGGGAAAATGCGAGCAATGATTACTGAAGCGTCTCTTCAGGCCCTATACGCGGAAGACAAGGAGAGCAACAACACCGATCAACCGAACAAAGAAAAACTTTTCATGCCAAGTACATTTCTCATAGAGGCTAAGTCGTCTTCTCAGGGAAAGGAGCTGCTCGCAAATGTGCACCAATTCTTAGAATACCTCGGTCTGGAATATACTGCTAGGGTCTTTCTCATGGAAGCTGATCTATCAGGAGATAGTTTGAATGCATTCACGCACAATGATAGGCCTAATTCGCAGTCTTCATTTATGTCCAAACTTAATTTTTCTGCCCTCACTAACCTTCCACATACTGACTCCAGCGCCCTAAAAAAATACGCGAGTGACGTGGGAACATTGACTTTGAATAAACCCAGCGAGATCGACATCAAGGATGAAGAAGATTCAGTGAATCATTCAGATGGAGAGCAGGTTGGTGGTGAGGATACTACTTATAATATTTCTTCTTGGAAGAAACGTAGCTTTGTGCGTGCCAATGGCTTGGTGTCGGGGCAGCAGATTCAACTAGAATATCTGACCGACTGCAGTGTATTGATCCTTGATCCTCTGGACAGCATCACAGTGGACGACTGCGAAGGTGGGGAACTCATTATCGCAGCTTGCGAGGGAAGCGTCTTTCTGAGAAATTGCAAGGGCATGACCGTTCACGTAGCATGCAAACAGCTTCGCACGCGGGATTGCGCGAATCTCAACATCGATCTCTTCACCACTACCGACCCAGTGGTCGAAATGAGTCACCACATATCTTTTAGACCTTTTCACTTGCGTTTGCCTGGCCTCAAGAAGAAATTCGCTGAAGCACGGCTGGACCCAAAGGTGAACCGTTTCGTTCATGTCTATGACTTTACTGCCACCGAGGTTACGCTTCCACAACCACATTTTACTGTAATGTACCCTAAACACGGGGTATCCCTAGAAGCACGCCACGCTGAATATGGAACTCCCGAGTGCCCGGAAGAAATTGAGCAACTGTTGAAGGGCACGCTCCTCCCCGCGGTCAGTTCGGAATCTCAGGAAAACAAAAGCCACGATATCAAGAATGGGTCGAAAATGTGGGCTAACATGGGTAATACTAATTCTAAAGAGATTCAAAAACCTCTTACAATACCAAGAGTTGATTATACACCCCCGAATTTATCTCCTATAGTTGAAGCAAGCAAAGTAAGTAAGCCTGATTCCCTTAATGAAGGAAGTAGTGCAAATAATTTAGGAATTCCCAAAGTTGTTATACGTTCGGTAAATGACCCTATCGGGCGACCACCAGCAGGACCTGGGATACAGGCTGGCAATAATGCCGCCACAAATAGTACTGAAACGAGTTTTGATGACAACAGCTACTCTTCCTTCGAAAACGAAAGCGCTGTTGATAGTCATGACAAATATGAAGTTGAAGAGGACGATGATGACTTCTAAGGATAAAAATAGGTATTTTAGTTACAGAATACTTTATCTGTAAATGGATTATACCTAGTCTCTTATACTATATACAAGAACTCTTTTTCTATTTCACTACATTGTTCAGATACAATTATTCTAACTGGGAACGTTATTATACCACAGAAAGTAAATCATTCTTTATTGAAGGGGTTGTATCTCATTCTTTATTTTAGTGAAATAGTTAAACCTAAGGGCTTCATTTTTTTTTCTATTACAATTGCAGGATAAGGTGAATTTACATAGAGTATTTTTGAATCTGTATCCAATGATTTAGACATTAAACGTATCAAACCTAGAAATAAAAGGATTTAGGAAAATATAACACATGTTGAGTTCAAAACCTGGGTTTCATGATTGATTGGTAAGAAAGCACCATTTTCATGTGTTTGTTTATGAAAGTATTATTTGAGCACTAGGATCTGAATGCTAGTTATGTTTTTTTTTTGCATCTGTATTCTTTCCTTTTTACGTTTATCATCATTTTCCCCTTTTTATAATAGACCAGAGTAGCTTGTGATATTAGAAGACTCCTAAAGATCATTTTCATTAATATTTCAAATTCTTCTTTTAGGGACGCATGGCACATTGGTACAGTTAGAAATAAGGGAGTAAAAATATCAATCCAATTCACAAAATTACTATTGTCACTATAACAATAAGTATAAAGAAAAGAGTTCTCCCATCCAACATCAAGTTTTGTAACTCAGCAAAGGAAATATTCAACTGTATTTACCACTGGCTCTATAATTCTTTTTGACATTTTCAAGTCCTTCTAGTGCGCACGTAGGAGTCCTGCCGCAAGTGGTTTCAGCATAATGGCCCGTATAGTACGCTATTTTACCGGTGTCTGAGGCCACTGAAAAGCAAAGAAGCTGAGAAGCGGTGAATGGGAAATAGTGATGCTTGTCGTTATAGGTCCTTGCTTGTTTGTAAAAAAGGTGCGGAACGTACTCATAAGAATTATCGGCTCTTTTCTTGTTGCTTGTCAAACATTCAAGCGAGCCCCACTTTGGTGATCACTTCTTCAGCTTAGATAACTATGACTCCATGAGGATCCAACTCAAGACTCAACACCGTCCTTTATGCATAATGGCAGTCACCTTGGGCCAAGCCTCAGTAGTATTTATTGCACTACACTTGGCCTAGTAACGAGTTGTAAGAACCCATTATCATTAGTTTTTCTTAGTTCCACATACGACACTAGTTTATTTTTTTCAAGCAGTTTTTGTTGTACACCAGATTTAATTATTTAGTACAACATGAAATGAACTGAAGGCAAAGTTAAAAAAAGCGATAAATTATTTCCGAAATATCATGTCGATCGCAAGAATTATCTTTGGCCAGTCTTACTTACGAAGGAACACATAATCGTGGCCTCTTTGTTCCAGTAATACAGGTTCCCAACACCCTACAAGATTCGACTGAAGGCCATATAGAGGCCAAGGATCTAATAGAGTACCGTATCCACTGGTGAGTGATAGTGATATGATAACCAAAACAGTACCTTCGCTACGTTTTTACAATCCCGAGATTTGCATTATAAATTACGGTGCTACTGTGAGAAGAAATGGTGTTTCACATAACTTACCGTGTGACGCACTGGTATTCTTTGTAATATATAAAGAAGGATGCAATGGTGGTGAAAGGCCAATTATATGGATTATGGTGAAAGAAACTCTATTTTAGCGACACTGGCAGCTAATAAACTTTAGTTTATGCTGTAACAAGGTACTCTCGCTACGCACAAGTCCTAAAGTTGTTCCGAAACCTGTGGAACAGCCTGAACAGAGTTCTGTACAGCTCACGCAGGAGATGTCACGACAGCTGATGCATTATTATTGTGAGAAGACGTGATACTATCAGGAAGATAGTGTACTTAAAATATTGAATCAACTGTGATATTAGGAGCGTCACGCTGATCCCGGTGGCTTTTCACATCCTCTTTAATGGCATCTATTACATCCAGAGATTGTGCATTAAACGATAGCATGTTAGTTTAAGCGGAGTCAAACGACCTTATGGCCGGCCGACCTAACGGCATGCAACCACGGTAAGGTGTTTCAATGTCTGAACGGAGTTGAGTCTTATTGCTGAAGACGCCTTCAAAGCCCATTACACAAGAGGGGGAAATGGATAAAAACACTATTCTGTGAGTTTTAGGATACATTTCAATAAATTGAAGTGTATGTACAAATGTCTAAACAGTAGAAAGAATCACTGCAGTGAATCACGTGGCAAAAATAACATTTAGAGGGTGAAAAAAAACGCATATGATGGCAGATTATCGATGCAGTGGTTATTAATATGTGGGCTCAGTTTAAAGAAGCACATTCGGTGGTACGATACTATATTCTCTTAAATTAAATTCTATTTACTAAAGCTGCTGTCCACACATGTGTTGTCACACATTTCTATCTATTTACAACGGTATTTTGCTAGAAAGGGTGAACATAGTGGTAGGTTGATGAAGCTTTGCGACAGACAAATTTTAGTGTTACTTGCCCACCCTCAAGATGTATGGGTATGACAATTATAACACTATTTTTACCGATCCTACACCCTTCCTCCAACCTTTATGATTTTATTCTAACTCTATGAGTTTTGAGTTATTGACTTGATTAAATATATCAATACAACCAGAGTGTATAAAGCTATAGTTTTTTCCACGAGATTTTACTTGGTTGCGTTTCTTATTAAAGAGGTATACTTTGCACGCATAAAAAAACGCGCACTTTTTCCTTTAATTTTTTACAAGTCTTTTTATCATATTTTCTTTATTACATTTTTTTACCTGTTAGTAGGCTATCATTGTCACCATTGAGTTTTATACTTATTTGATCTATCCTTAACTGTGAATATTACTTTTTTCGAATCAGATAGTGAATTGTTTTCTTTTTAAAACCATTATTTTTGGTATAACAGAAAAACATAATCCGAGCTTCAATTTGTATATACTCCAATAAACGATCGTATATAAGTTTAATCAAATAGGTGTAGATTAATATATATAAGAAGAAATGTTGCGAACTTCTGCTTTAATAATGAAAAAAGGTGCACAAGCAAATCCATTTGATGCCAAATTTCTGGCCACCATGATGTCTGACATGGGTCCGGCTCGATACTACAAAATAAATGAAATTGATAAGACCAAGTATGAGCAACTACCCTTTTCCATTCGTGTATTGCTTGAGTCTGCGGTGAGGAACTGCAATGAATTCGATGTTACATCCAAATCAATCGACCATATCCTTGACTGGAAGACAAACTGCACCAAGAACATTGAGATTCCTTTTAAACCAGCACGAGTGGTGCTTCAGGATTTCACTGGTGTGCCTTGTATTGTTGATCTGGCTTCGATGCGAGATGCTATGAAAAAACTGGGCGCCGATCCAAAAATTATCAATCCACAGATCCCTGTGAACCTTGTTGTGGATCATTCTGTTCAAGTGGACGTTGCTGGTACTGATAATGCTGTGTTATTCAATCAAGATATGGAGATGAAACGTAATCGTGAGCGTTTTGAGTTCCTCAAGTGGGGTTCCAATGCTTTTGATAACCTGCTGATCGTTCCCCCAGGTTCAGGAATTGTACACCAAGTTAATCTCGAATATCTGGCGCAGGTGGTTTTCAATAATAATAATATGCTATACCCAGATTCTGTCGTTGGTACAGATTCTCATACAACCATGGTCAACGGACTCGGTGTCGTGGGCTGGGGTGTTGGTGGGATCGAGGCTGAGGCTGGCATGCTGGGGCAGTGCTTGTCCATGGTTCTGCCCCAGGTCGTCGGCTATAAGTTCACAGGGAAGTTGCGGGATGGGTGTACAGCTACAGATCTTGTTCTTACCGTCGTGAAGAATTTACGCAAGCTCGGTGTGGTGAGCAAGTTTGTTGAGTTTTACGGTCCCGGGGTGGATAGTCTTTCACTGGCCGATCGTGCAACTCTGGGAAACATGGCCCCGGAATATGGCGCCACAATCGGCTACATTCCTATTGACTATGAGACAATCTCCTACCTCAAGACCACGAATCGTACACTTGAGCACATTACTCGGATTGAGAATTACACTAAGGCGGTCGGCCTTTTCCGAACAGGTACCGAAAATATTACCTATTCACAGAATCTGGAGTTAGACTTATCAACAGTTGTGCCGTGTTTGGCTGGTCCTAAACGACCTCATGACAACGTTTCCTTGTCCGACATGCCAAAAGACTTCAGAGCGTGCTTATCTGCTAAAAGCGGGTTTAAGGGCTTTGGCATCCCTGCGGAGGAGCGAGATAAAAAAGTGACCTACACTTTGGATGGTAAAGAGGCAACGATGCAGCATGGTAGCGTTGTAATAGCAGCTATCACTTCATGTACCAACACTTCGAATCCGAGCGTACTCATTGCGGCTGGTCTTGTCGCCAGGAAAGCAAATGAAAAGGGCCTTAAGGTGCCGCACGGCATCAAGACCTCACTCTCGCCAGGTTCTCACGTTGTGTCGAAGTATTTGGAAGCGTCTGGTCTACAGAATCATCTTGATCACCTTGGGTTTCATACCACTGGCTATGGTTGTATGACTTGCATCGGTAACTCTGGAGAAATTCCCACAGATGTAATGGACTGCATTAAGGACAACAACTTTGTTGCAGCCGCCGTGTTGTCAGGGAATCGTAACTTTGAGGCCCGCATACATCCCCTGACAGCTGCTAATTACCTTGCCTCACCACCTCTGGTTGTAGCCTATGCACTCGCTGGACGTGTGGATATCGATTTCGAAAATGAGCCTATTGCAGACGGTGTGTATCTGCGTGATATTTGGCCCCGAAATGAGGAAATCTATGAGATTCTGAATCAATGCGTAACCCCAGCTCTCTTTAAGAGTGTCTATGAGAACATTACGACGATAAACGAGTCTTGGAATCAGCTTCAGGTGGAAAAGGGCGAGTTTTACAATTGGGATCCTAACTCTACCTATATTCACAACCCGCCATACTTTGAAGGGATGACCAGAGAGCCACCGGGCATCAAGCCTATTAAGCAAGCAGCTTGTCTAGCTCTTTTTGGCGACTCGATCACCACTGACCACATATCCCCTGCAGGCAACATTGCTAAGGACTCTCCGGCCGCGAAGTTTCTTATGGAGCGTGGGGTTGAGCGTAGGGACTTCAATACCTATGGTGCTCGCCGAGGCAACGATGAGGTTATGATGCGTGGTACCTTTGCCAACACCCGTATAGGCAACAAGCTTGTGGGGGAAGGCCAAACCGGTCCGTACACAATATACCATCCAACGGGGGAAAAGATGTTCATCTTTGATGCAGCGATGAAATACAGCGCTGAGGGTGTTGGCACCGTCATTTTGGCCGGCAAAGAGTATGGCAGTGGCTCATCTCGTGACTGGGCAGCCAAGGGACCTTTTCTGCAGGGTGTAAAAGCTGTCATAACTGAGAGTTTTGAGCGTATTCATCGCTCCAATTTAGTGGGAATGGGTATCATCCCCTTACAATTCAAGCCAGGTGAAAACGTACAGTCTTTGGGTTTGACTGGGAAGGAAAGGTTCGACATTGAACTTCCCAAGGACCTGAAGCCTCTGCAGGATATTGCTGTTTATTACGATGACGGCAAGAGTTTTCAAGCTATTGTGCGCATTGACACTGAAGTGGAGGTGCATTACATAAAACATGGGGGCATCCTAAATTATGTTTTACGTAGTAAGATTTAGTCTTAGGTAGTTGTATATAACTAGTAGTAAAAATGATAGTTAAGTAAGGTATAAAAATGAGACTATAATGATAGGTATTTAAATACGCGTTTTAGTTTTTTGATTTTTATAGTTTATTATCTCCAAGAAGTCTAACGTTCATAAAAAAGGAAAAATAGAGTAAAGGTTGTTTACCTTTTACGCTTCGGAATGCGAGTATTTTTTTATATTAGAAATTGCAAAATTTTTATTTACTTCCTTATTTTATCTTATTGTCCTTATTATGTTACTTAGCTTTTTTTGTTTATATCCCTTGTCAGTTTTTGTTTTTTCTTCCCTATTTATTTTCATATCTCTATAGGGATCGTTGGCGCTGATGCGAATACTGAAAATGCAACGATGCTGAATGTTCTTTTATTGTGGATAATTTGAAAAAAAACTAATAATCTTTAGGCACTAATACATGCATGTTCTGATTAATTCCTTATATTGCCTAAAGCAAAACGGATGTTTGCAGTGCAAATGTATATAACCTTCAAATAGTTATATTTAAATGCATTTTCACCTTATTGAATCATTAGATTAATATCTGCATGCTATTTTAAAAGACAATATAATTGAATTGAATCAGATTTAACAATATCCAGTGTAGACCAGCTATATTTAGGTTTATTTGCACTCACACATACACACCATCCTTTTCCTTTCTCCTTATTAAACATGCCACATACAACATTAAGTACAATGTGGATCATAACCTTTCAAAAATTTCTAGTTGTTATTCTTGTTTATTTACCAGCGTTTAGAGGGTGCGTTTTACAGTTTGCATTTTTTTTCTTAAACATACACGCTATCAGACATGACACCGCCCACATTGGCGCACGTCCTCGCACGTTCTATGCGATTTCCTGTGAAACGTGCGCGCCAAATCATTCCCAATCTTTTTAATCCTTCTCAACACCCTATGGAAACATCAGATTCTGAGGATAAAATAACCTCCACTCGAACGAGGCATTTCCACCCTCGACATTTATTTGACAAAATTTACGAAAAAAAAACTGAGCAATCAACAGACGGACCTTTAACTAGTACTCAGGAAGGTCTATATTCCCCGAAATTAATACGAAACAGCATGGATTTGTTGGGATTTTTAAGGTTGGCTAAAAAAATGCGAGCCTTGGAAGAAGGCTTGCGGACATTTCTTGATGCCACCTGCACAACACTTCCCAGTGATGTCTTTGTTACCAGTGGATGTGCCATGGGTTCTTCCGCTTCCTTGCCGCCGTCGGCGTCTGCTTCGCCAGAGGATTGCCCGAAGGGCCATATTACGCCGAGTAGTGCGCACATTACACTACTGATGGATATGTGTGCGAACAAGGGCGAATGGGTCTTGGCCCTCTTTCTTGTTAGGCACTTCAGTAAAGCCCACCCAAGCCTAATTGGGCACGCGGTCAGTTTGATGGCACGCCATCGCGTTGCGCCAATGACCTTACGGAAGGCTGTTGATGTACCGGAACTCTCCCCTTCTGAGGATCTGGGGGACGCACCCAACACACATGATATGGGGCTCGCGAAAAGCGACGTGGAAGTGTTGGGTTGGCACGTGGCGTGTTATTACCTTACCCATCAGTTCGGTTCGCAACCGCACTACATACCTGTCGAGGCATTCAATGTAGTTCTTTCCGCCTGCAGCCGTGATGAGGATTGGCTCACATCTATGAGTCTTGTGCGAGGCATGGGGCCGAACCCTTTGCAGGGCTGGCAGTCCGAGAGGGAACGGATGGCGATAATAAGGCGTTTGGATGAAACGAAGGGAACCACGAACACCTTACCCCCAGATTGGTTTTGTCCCTTGACCACGTTTACGCAACCACAGGTCCCTGTCGAGACCCACATGACGTTGGCCCCAGACAGCAGCGTTGGGGAAAGGGGAGCTGCAGTGATCAACACCAGTGCACTCACCGAATGCAATGCTGCTCCAAGCACCTCTGCGCCACCCCCACCGGATGTGGTTAGCTATGCCACTCTCATCGTGACTCTTGAGCATGCTGGTGAGATTCACTTAGCAACCGAAGTATTAAACTGTTTGCCACCGTCAGAGAAGAAGAAAATAACCGCTTCATATGCAGCCTTGATCAGCGTATGGTCAAATGAGGTGTGTAGCAGAAAGCGCAGATAGTTATTTGTTTACCAGCCTCTTCGTGTATCTCGGGAGAGAGCAAAGAATATAGATATTTATTTATTTAACTTTGCTTGATTTTAGAGGATTGTTGAATATACAAGTCAAGTATAGCAAAGATTATCACCTATTGTAACTTTTGTTTTTAAAGGTTTCGAATTTAATCAACTATAGTCCTGCTAATTTGTATTTTTTTTCTGCTATAAGTTTTGCTTTACTATATTTCTATTAATACGAAAGGAATGAATTGGTTTCATGGAAGCTCGAGTGCTGATAACAAGGCTCTACCGTCAAGAGTTATCGTTCTTAATATTGGTGGAGTTTTATACTTCACCACTGATCAAACACTGCAGCCTCTAAAAGATCATCCGATTTTTCAACCTATTTTATCTTGTCATGCTAAAGTACATGAAGATGGAAGCTACGTTATAGATCGTGATGGCGTAATTTTTCGAACTATTCTAAACTACCTTCGCAGCAATATTCTTTATGTACAGGAAACATTTGACGAATGGGACTTGCTTCTGGATGAATCTAGGTTTTATCAGTTAGAAGCGCTCGAAAAGCTTATTCTGGGGCATTATAGATACCAGCGGATATCCTTTCGCCGAGAACTACCACGTGGTATCTATGTTTGTTGGCCCACAACAGTTATTGTAAGAGATTCTTTCGTTAGGCCATCAGGCCCTATAGCTGAGTCGAGGGATATTAGTAATGACAATTTTTTAAACAGCACTGTGCCCTTTGATACCACACAGAGCTCATATAATTCTGACAGCGTTAGGGTAATTAAAGGTCGACCGCGCGAGTTCGAATTTATGAGCGGAGGAGAAGATAACAGGAGGAAGTCCGGAGATCAACTTGCTCACAACGCCTTGCGGATAGTTATTGCGCCACCATTGCCCTCTTTAGAAGTTTGTGCTGATGGGCGTTCCGTGTTGTACACCCCCCCTGCTCACGAGTGCCAGAATTGTATTGGTGCTAATAAATGTGGCCCCTCGTCTACAGGAGTCGGTGCCACCTCTTCGTTGCAGGATGTGGTGCTCATAAAGGTGGAGCAGCTTGTGACTGTATTGTTGTCTGCGTACGGGTACGTGATACAGCACTGGAACGAGAAAGAAGGTAAAATATATTTTACACTAGGATCATCCTAACATCTAGATTTATGCAAGTTTGGAAGAAAGTTATTTTATTATATTTTTTTGTCTTTGATCCAGACTGTTGAAAT